AGGGGGGGGGGGGGGGGGGGGGGGGGTTAAGCATATGGTAAAACAAATAAGTTCCCTTGCATTTCTTTTTCAAAAAAAAAAAACAAATGCTTGTGTACCAAATATGTCACCGAATTTTGTACATCAAACAGTATAACGTATGCACAGTAACTAGATAAGTTTTGTAAGTCAATAAGATCCAGTAATCTAACCTCTTCATTACTTTGGTATAAAAAATTGATGATTTAGTAAGTGTAACGTTGTTGTTTCTTTCTGTTCAGATGAAGATAGTTACCTAGAAGAGAGATTTTTGATATCGAAAGATCTTGGGAAGGGATGTTGTGGAAGAATCTGAGCATGATCACTTTCTAGGGAGTTCCTTGCAAGTGCAATTCCACCATTTTCCATTCTGAAGTGTTGAAGAGGATTAGTCCTTTGATAGAAAACGCCAGGAACATAATTTCTTCCTTGCATCGTTCTACTTGTTTGGCGTAATACTGTCAAAGGAAAGCAAAAACCTGTAAATTTGTAATACTGATTTTGCTTCTATGTATCGTTTGGTAACTTTTTAAAGTACTTTTTTTTCTCCTTGTATCTGATATTTTTCTAGTCTCCTGCTCATTGGAGACTCCTATGCGTGTTGAAACTGGTCTTACTGTTGGCTGTAATTAATAGATAAAACAAAGACAGTACAAAACTAGCCCGTAGGAATAATTTTCATACTTGTATTTCAGAATTTTCAGAATGCATATATGTGAGAAGATACATCTTAACTACTCACCTTTTTAGAATATTAACTACACTACAAGACCCAAGACTCAATCATTTATATTCCTAAGTTAACTAGATACGCTTAACAACTAAGCATTACCTTTTATGCTATTTTTAACACCCGTAATGCTATTTCATGCTCGTCTACCCGAGAATTTGTGAATTGAAGCTTTCATGACTGTTGTATTTCTTATCACTCGACTTCCCTCAACTGTTCTTAATATGGAAACTCTATTTTCTAAACTCTATGGGCGTCATCCAGATTATAATTCATTGAAGGTTTTGGGTGCTGTTGTTTTCCTTTCTTACAGCCTTATGCGACGAATGAATTTAAACCCAAGTCTTATCCATGTGTTTTTCTTGGATATAGTCCTTCACACAAGGGGTATAGATGTCTTCATCCACCTTCCAAACTAGTTTTTCTCTCCCAGCATGCTGCTTTTGATGAGCTATTGCGTCCATATACTGATCCAAAGACATTATTTTCTTCTTCTTCGATGACAGGCACTATTTCCACTTATTCCGATTTTACAGATGACTTCCTTCAGACAAAAACTTCTTCTACAGTGGCTGCTCCGCAACATTCTTCATTTCCTCTTTTCCATACGGCGTCATCACAGCCCTTGGGACCTGACCCAACAAATGACATTGGAGCATCTACTCCGTGTACAGACCACCACTCACTGCTTGAGGTCATCAATGAAGCTGATACGACTCCTGCATATGACACCCACCCACCAATACATGAAGTTCCTCTTCTACCTGAAGCTGCTCAATCAATGTCATTCCCTACAACTAAAACATCGCAGCCCTCCTTCTCCAATGAAGCTAAGTCTCAATCTCTAGTTATCGCAACCCCCACTAATGCTGAGCTATCACCTTCCACCTTACCCATTGTTCCTGAATCTTCATTATCAGATCTGATGGTTTCGTGTTCATGCCTTACATCACTAGGTGGCTTACCTGGCAATCTTTATATTGACTTTACCTCTGCATGTTCTCATTGCCGCTTGTTGCCCCCACTTCCACTCATAATGTCCATCCCCATGATAACCCGCAATAAAGCCAAGGCCCAGCAATGCCACACTGACTTTGCTGATTCCATGGAGGCTCTTCTCACTCTTCAAGCCCACAGAGCCGAAGAGTCTTAAGATAGCCCTTCACAATCCATACTGGAAAGCCGATGCATGACAAAATTCAAGCTCTGCATGGTAATCATACATGGAACCTGGTGCCCCGCGAACCTCATATATATTTGAATGTTATTAGCTCACGATTGGTGTTGAAGACCAAATTAAATTTTCCTAATGCTGTTGGAGAGATAATTGAAAGAGATAATTTGGGGATATAATGAGTTGTTATCAATGAATGAAATGATAGTGAAATATATTTAACACTAATGCTATTAGGACATAATTTAGGGACATAATTTGAAGACATAATGAGTTGTCACCAATAAAATGATAGTAAAATATATTTAATGATGAGTCACATTGTAGTATTAAATGAATTCATTATCATATTATTGGTAACAACTTATTATGTTCTCAAATTATTTTCCTAAATTATGTCTCAATAACATTGCCCTATATTTAATGATGGGTCCTATTATAATATTAAATAAATTCATTATCATATTATTAGTTACAACTCATTATGTTCTCAAATTATGTCTATACATTATGCCCAATATCATTAATCATTAAATTTTGATGGTTCAATAGAACGATTTAAGGTCCTGCTATTCGCCAAAGGCTACAATCAATTGGCAAGAATTGACTTTGAGGAGATTTTCAGCCCAGTTATTAAACCTACAACTATTAGCTTAGTTCTCTCCGTTGGTTTTGTTGGAAAAATAATATTAAATATGACTTTTCCTGTTTTAGGACTTATTTTTATGTATTTAATTTTGTGTATTAGTGGGTCATCAATTTGGTATTAGTGGAAGACAAAGTAATTGTGGTATTTTAATTCTCCAAGTAATTGAGAAGTGGGGTCTTTATTATTTTTATTATTGCATTATGTAGTGGGGTTATTTTGTATGTCATGAGAGTCTATATATATCTTATATAATACATCCACTTGGATATGAGTGAATAGAAAAAGTTATTCCAATCTTCAATAATCTCTTCCATTATAATTTTTTAGTGAGTGTGTGATAGTTCTCTAGATTTCAACAAAGTGGTATCAGAGCCAGGCTTGAGTGTTGAAAAAAGAGAGTGAGAGAGAGATGACAAATGAAATGCTTTTATTTCAAATGCCGCGATTCACCAAAGATAACTATGAGAATTGGTTTATCTGCATGAAGGCAATTCTTGGATCTCAAGACTTATGTGAGATTATAACCACTGGTAATACAACACTGCAAGATGAAACTTCTTTAAGTCAAGCCCAAAAGAAAGTCTTGCAAACTACAAAAAAGAAGGATCAAAAGCCTCTTTCACTAATCCATAAATGTTTCGATGATGCTATGTTACAGAAGGTTGCTAGTGCAACCACATCCAAGCAAATATGAGATGTTCTTAAAACTGCTCATAGTGAAGTAGAAAAAGTCAAAAAAGTTCGCCTCCAAACTCTATGAGGTGAATTTGAGACTTTACATATGAAGGAATTCGAATTAGTTTCAGATTATTTCATAAGAATCTTGGTGGTTGTGAATAATTTGAGAATTTATAGTGATGATCACTATAATGATGCCCAGGTGATAAAAAAAATTCTCCGTTCATTGGACCCCAAGTTTGACTATGTTGCCGTAGCTCTTGAAGAGTCTAAAGATTTAGACATAATAACGATTGACGAACTAATGAGATCGTTGTTAGCCTATGAAGAACGGCTAGACAAGAAGAAGCAAGAGTCGTTGGAGCAAGTGCTACAAACCAAGCTTTCTTTCAAATAAAAAGAAAGAAGGCAAGATGGAAGTCAAAGAGGTAGAGGGCATGAATGTGGAGGTAGAGGTCGTGGTGGACGTGGTCGAGGTAGAGGAGAAAACTTTGGCCAAAATGCGCCCCAACAAAGAAGAAAGAGGTCAAAAATCACATCGTGAAAGAGGACGTAAAAAAGGCAACAATTCAAAGTCATATGAAGGAAGCTATGAAAAATCTCATATTCAATGTTATAATTGTCATCGATATGACTATTTTGCTTCCGAGTGTAAAAATAATTTTGTAGAATAAAGAGCACACTTTGTTGAAGACAACGTTGAAGAGGTAGAGTCGACCTTGTTGTTGTCATACAAAGAAGAGCAAAAGAGAGACAAAAACGTGTGGTACCTTGACTCCGGTGCTAGTAATTATATGTGTAAAAATAAAGAGATGTTTGCGAAGCTTGATGAATCAGCGTGTGGAAAAGTCACTTTTGGAGATTCTTCTCAAATTTTAGTAATGGGAAGAGATAATATTTTGATTCATTTGAAGGATAGAAGAAACCAAGTTATTTCTAATATTTTTTATATTCCAAACATAAAAAATAATATTTTGAGTTTGGGATAACCCTTAGAGAAATGTTATGATATTTACATGAAAAATCATAATCTTTCAATAAGAGATGAAAACGAGAATTTGGTTGCTAAAGTGCCGATGACAAGAAATAGAATATTTTTGTTAAATATTTAAAGTGATGTGGCAAAAGCTTGAAAGCATGTGTTAAAGATTCTTCTTGGTTATGACACTTGAGATTTGAGCACTTAAATTTTGGAGGATTAACCTTATTGTCTAAAAAGAAGATGGTAAAAGGATTGTCCTCTATCAACCACCTGGATCAACTTTGTGATGAATGTTTAATTGGAAAGCAAGCTAGAAAGAGTTTTTTCAAAGAATCCATTTCAAGAGCAACCAAATCACTTCAACTTGTTCACTCGGATGTTTGCGGCCCTATAAACCCACCATCATTTGGTAAGAACCAGTATTTTCTTCTCTTTATTAATGATTTTAGCTGAAAATTTTGAGTTTATTTTCTAAAACAAAAATCAGAGGTGTTTGGTGTTTTCAAAAAATTTAAGACTTTGATTGAAAAACAAAGTGTGTATGAAGTCAAGGCAATTACATTAGATAGAGGAGGTGAATTCACATCAAATGAATTCAAATTTTTTTGTGAAGAAAATGGAATTCACCATCCTTTAACGGTTCCAAGATCACCACAACAAAATGGTGTTGACGAAAGGAAGAACCGAACCATTCTTGACATGGCTCAGAGTATGTTGAAGAACAAAAAATGCCCAAAGAGTTTCGGGCGGAAGCTATTGATTGTGTCATCTACTTGTTAAATCGGTGTCCCACTAGAAGTGTTTAAGACAAAACACCACAAAAAGCATGAGGTGGAGTCAAGTCATATGTTTCTCATTTGTAGGTCTTTGGAAGTGTATGCTATATACATATGTCAGATGAGAAACGGATCAAACTAGATGACAAGAGTAAAAAGTTTGTCTTCATTGGCTATGATTCAAGAAACAAAGGTTACAAGCTTTACAATCCAAGTAATGACAAGATAATCATTAGTCGAGATGTTGAGTTTGATGAAGAAGATAAATGGAATTGGAACACTCCACAAGAAGACTATGATTTTTTCCCATTCTTTGAAGAAGAGGAGGAGCCCAATAATGAGATCATGGAGCTGCCCATTTATTCTCCTCCACCATCATCACCATCATTCATCAATGTGCAAACATCTCCATCATCATCCAAAGCAAGTTCAAGTGAAAGGTCACCTCGCACGAGGAGTCTTTGAAATATCTATTAAGAAACCGAAAGGGTAATTCAAGGATTTAGTGATCTAACACTATTTTGTCTATTTACCAATTGTGATCCCATAGGCTATGAGAAAATGACACAAGACAAGAAGTGAAGGAGTGCCATGAATGAAGAAATTAATGCTATTGAAAGAAATGGAACATGAGAGCTTGCCACACTCCCTAGAGGACAAAAGGCTATTGGAGTGAATTAGGTGTACAAGACAAAGAAAAATGCTAAAGGTGAAGTGGAGAGGTATAAAGAAAGGTTGGTTACACAAGACTATAGTCAAAGACCGGATATTGACTATGATGAGGTATTTGCACTCGTTGCTCGTTTGAAAACAATTAGATTGATTCTTTCTCTAACCGTTTTAAATAATTAAAAAATTCATCAAATGGATGTAAAATCCGCTTTTTTTGAATGACTTTCTTGATGAAGAGGTGTACGTTGAACAACCCTTGGGTTATGTTGTGAAAGGACAAGGAGAGAAAGTCTTGATATTAAAAAAGGTTTTGTATGGTTTGAAACAAGCACCAAGAGCTTGGAATAGTAGACTTGACAAGTACTTTCAAACAAATAATTTCACCAAGTGTCCCCATGAACATGCTATTTATGCAAGGGTGAATAATAATAGTGATATACCATATGCTTATTTATATGTGGTTGACTTGATCTTCACAAAAAATTGTCTAAAAATATTTGAAAATTTTAAGAGAGCAATGACTAAAGAATTTGAGATGACCGACATTGGGCTTATGTCATACTACCTTAGCATTGAAGTGAAGCAAATGAAGGGAGATATTTTTATTTCTCAAGAAAGTTATGCTAAAGTAATTTTGGCAAAATTCAAGATGCAAGATTGTAAGCCGGTATGCACACCCATTGAATGTGGTGTAAAATTATCAAAATATGAAGATGGAGAACATGTGGATCCTACCCATTTCAAGAGCCTAGTGGGAAGCTTGAGGTACTTAACATGTACAAGGTCAGATATTCTTTTTGGTGTTAGTCTTGTAAGTCACTATATGGAAAGTCCTATCATAACCCATTTGAAGGCGGCGAAAAAAATTCTTAGATACATTAAAAGTACACTTGATTATGAATTGCTATATTTTTGTTCTAACAATTTCAAGCCTGCGGGTTATTGTGATAGTGATTGGGCCGGAGATATAGATGATAGAAAAAGTACTACCGAATATGTTTTCTTCATGGAAGATACCACATTTGCTTGGAGTTCAAAGAAGCAATTCATTGTGACTCTTTCAACTTGTGAAGCCGAGTATGTGGCTGCTACATCATGTATTTGTCAAGTCATTTGACTAAGAAATTTGTTGAAGGAGCTTTATTTACCTTAAGAAGAATCGACGGAGATCTTCATTGACAATAAATTGGCACTAGCGTTGACAAAGAATCCGGTGTTTCAT